CATGCTCTCTTTCACAATTTCCCTTTATCTCTGTCAAATGCGAACAGAGAGAAACTTCCTTGCCTTGCCAGGCAAAATAAATACAAATACAAAGTATAGAGGTTCTGCCTTTGTCCCAACCTTTGAAAGATTTCCCCAAAAAGCAAAGAGCTACTGGACAGCCAAACAGCAGGTAAAGGAACATGCCATTGCATTACTTTCACATATGGCTTTGTGATAATGCTTAGCATTAGAGTTTTGGGGCTGTCCTGCTTTGCCTACTGATTTCTTGTCAGGAATGAATGATGTACGTACCAGGCAGGCAGAAGCAGCCAAAGTTAATTTAATCGTGCCTCCCTGAAGTCTCAGGAAACCCCCACTGGGTGTTTACTGAACCAGTCTACTCCATCCAGAGCTGGGCCTGTGCTGTGAAGCTGGGATCCCGTGCCAGGCGTTCACTCCGTGCTGGGCCTGTCATGCCAGAGCTTGCTGCTGGCCCGCTCAAAAGGCAGTACAAAGCCATACAAGTACATACACACACCCACCAGCATCCATCACTTGATACCGGTATCCTTTTGAGAGCTGTAACATACATTTACACACATGTGCCTATCTACACACGTGCACATTACCCCCATAGGTGCACCACGACATTCCTAAATGTTTGGCTGCTTCAGGGAGATGCCATTTAGGTCTTTCCCTTCACTACCCTGCACTGAGGTGGAGGAAAGGGAGGACTTCCTCTAGGATAACTTAACAGCTCTATGCTGGAGACCAGGAACAGCAGCTCTGCATTGCTGAAGACAAAGCTGGTGTCTGGCACTGGAAAAGCTCCCAGCACAAGGCCTCACCACTGGCACTGCTAACGAGTGCAGCCTTTTTTGTGCTCATTTTAAAAGCATTTTAAGATAACAATTTCTCACCTTTGGAATCCTAGAAAGCAGATTCATCCCAGTACCAAATAAAGCGTGGAACTTAGCAGGTAAAAAAGGCTTTTAAATGTCATTACAGCTTTTCAAAACTTCTCCAGCTTTTTCTCTGGATTTCTGTAAGGTATGCGGCACATTCAGTACACATGCTGTGGGCTAAAACAAATGCCTCAATGGCATTTGTAGAGATGACCTATATAAATCATCCAGAAGGCATACTAACACCCTCCCAAAAAATCTCTTGGTTTTTACCTTACCAGTCAGTGTGGTTGTATTTGTGTCTATAGATATGTATACATACACACAAATATATATGTGTACACCTATACAGAGAAATGAGAGTGGACTGACTCCTGAAAAAGCAGATTATGTATGTCAGTGTGTGTGCATGTATGCCTCTGTGTGTGTGTTTTCACATTTATACACATATATGTGCATGTATGTACTTATACATAGATACACACATGTAGATACATCTGTATACATACAAACACAAAGTGTAAATACCTACACACACATGCATACATCATTTGCTCTTCAAGAGTCAATCCACTCATTTCTGTAGATAAACAGAGCACAACAGTAAGTTAGAAAAATAACATTTCAGTAAAATACTTGTGCTCTTTCAATTATCAAAAGTTCACGTAACCTGACTACTGGCGATATTTCTCTCTGTTATTACAATTAATCTGGTCCTAAAGACTCGCTTGTTGTAATGTAAGACACATTTGCCTCTTGGGAAAAAATAGGAGGAGGAAGTTCTATAAATCACAAAGCTGGTACAGTGTAGACAGTATCAGCACTGAGTGTGGCAGCTACTGAACTCAGAGCTAAGGAAACAAGAAGAAATAAATTCATTATTGATAAAATTTACATAAGGAAATAAAAATAAACAATAGAGAAATCATTTTTATTCCAGTGGGACTGTAAAATGTGAGGGAAACACGTCATATAGAATGTTCCACCAAAAAAAAGAATACTGAATTTACTCTACATACAATACAACAAATTCTACGTTCCTTCCCCACTGAGGATGTTAAAATCTTCACCTGTTGCTAGGTAATCTTGCCTATGAAGCAACTGCCCTAACCAAAATGTTGTGTACAGTAATACTGAATAACAACAAAAAGCAGAACAAAAGCAAGTTGAAATTTGGGTAAGATATTAAAAAGTTTTTCTAGAAGGGAAAATGCATCAGAATACCCATTTTCAAATCTACTTTAACGATTCCAAGATCATCTCCTGTATGCACTACTCTTGCAGGAAAAGCATTTAATTCTGGGACCGTCTGTGTGTTTTCAGACAGAGTTGTTTTCTTGTAATAAAATTTAATTTCATCTCGAATCTAGGATCTACCCACAGGTTTTCTGGAATGGCTTCCAGTAAATTTTTTCTGTGAACAGAAATTTTACATCAAGTACTTTTCTGAGAACGCTATGAAATGTACTCGGGAAGAGTTCTGTGCAAGTGACCCAAAACATAGGGAGCCCAGGCATAGTTACTGCTTTATCCAGCCTTCTGCTAACTGGCAGTTGAGTTTTGGGTTATCTCACACATCTGCAATTCTGCTACTCTAGCTGGAAAATGGTGATAATCTCATAAATACCGCTCAATGGAATAAGCTTAAGCACCTGCTTAAGTACTTTGCTAATACCTGGCTTCAGCTAGCACATTGGAGCAATGAGCTATCACGGTTCTGGTATCGGTTGTGTTTTGCCATGCTGTATAGCACCCTGATTCCGTAATATTTTCATTTCCTGTCATCGCTAATTGGCTAAAATTACAATATCACACCTCGGCAGTCCTACTCAGGGTGTAGAAAAAGATAATTCAGGGGAAAAGATGCTTTGCGGGACAGCCTTTAATATATTTCACTATTTCTGATGCTTTTAAAGCATGCTGTAAAGCAGGATATATTTCAATTTTTTTTCAACTCTACCAGTGCAGCTTACAGAAGCAGCAGCAGATTCTCCTCTATTGTGGAGGTGATGGCTTTTCTTTTCCTAATTTAGCTCCTCGGTTTATTGTGTCCCCTCTCTAATTTGGTTGCTACACTTATCTACCTTTCTGCGTTAATCAAGGGTTTCCAATGACCTTCTGTCCTTATGGCCTGTAATTCTCTTAAGGAAAACAGTCTTTCCATGAATTGTTGGTCAATCAGTTTTGCCTTAAGGATAGCTGACATGAATGGATTTTATCTCCTTTTTGGAACAAGGTGCTAAAATTTGTTTATGTCTATATGCATCTTTCTGCTGAGTTCTTTGAGGCCCAAAATCCATTCTAGGGACCTTAAAACCCTGATTGACCTGAACAACCTAGAACATATAATGGTGATAAGGGAGAGTATTTCATTACCAAAGTTCAACGTATGAGTTTCATTGCCAATGCCAAAAATAGCCCAGAGTAGTTCCCTGTAGCTTCTGTGGTTGACATCAACCATCCTGAGAAAAAGGCAAAGTATGGCTTTGGAAAGTACAGAAAGAGATGTGACATCTTTATTTCAAGTAATTTTGTGTTATTTAAACAAAATGAGATGGAAAATATCTCAGAGATAGAAGATTCCTCACAGCTCCACACCTTCCTCAGACCCTGGGCCATATCCATGTTGAAAAGTTGGAAACTTGGCTGTTTCAGAGCCACGCTATCAACTTCCAATGGAGCCTTGACCAAGCCATGCGTTAACTGTCCTGCCTTACCTTGTCTGTAAAACGGGAACAATTGTGTTCAGTGGCCCATTTAACAAGGCCACTGTAAAATTTACTTAATGTCTGTGAAGAGACTAAAAACAGAAACTAGAAAGGCTAGGAGAATAGTGAGCTTCATTCAGCATTACTTTATTTAGGTAGCCAGCTGGCTGATTCCTAGGGTGGCAGTAAGAGGTTGACCCATTTGGCAAAAGCCAATGTTATTTATATTTGTCTTACACTGGAAATTAATGTCCCTGTGGCTTGGGTTTCAGGCTAAGCAGCTTTTATTGCATATCACAAAGCCAGCAAACACCAGCACCACCAGCTCTTCACATCTCTAGGTAAGGGCAAATACAAAAGCCATTGTGGGAGACCAAAAGAGGACTGGAAGGGAGGTGATAGAAAAAGAAATATTTTTAGAAGATACAGAGCTATCATTTGGATAGGACCCCATGACCTCATGACATCACGGGGTATGTTAAATTAGATGGTCTAAATAAGACAACACATTAACAGACTAAGCACTGTTTTGGAAGCCACAGAGCTCTGAATCCAGTTCTTCTACTTACTAACTGGGTGGCCTGTGCAAGAAATGTCATCTTTCTGGGTCCACCTTCTCAATCTATAAAAGGGAACTATAACTACTTCATGAGACCTGGGCAGCACCACTGGGTAATGTTTGTACGAAACGTAAAGGAAAAAAAAGTACACGTTGCATAACTGCTATAGGCTTTATTAATTTAAATCATATGGCAGCTGTCCCTCAGCTAGACAAGTTCATTTTTAATCTCTGACATGTCCCTCTATCACTGCTTTCATGAAGAGAAAAGGTTCACTGTTTCACTCCATGGCCAGTTTTACTATTGCCTAGAGTGAGTCCTCCAGTATAAAAATTAACATATGAGTAACAGAAAATGCCAGTGTAGTGACACAGGTTCATTTCTGTCTTTTACTCTAATTAAGATAATTCTATCTATGTCACATAGATGGCATCTATCTATGTAGAGCTCTATCTGAAGATGCAGTCTTTGTATGATCTCTGAGGATCTGACATGGCAAGCAACAGCTGTGAAAATATCTAGAGCATTTTACAATTATAGGAAAATCTTGAAATGCTTTCTAAATAAGATTATTATTCATACTGGTGGGGAAACTGAGGCACAGCTAAACTAAGTGATGTGGCCATGGCAGAGCGTTAGTGGCAGAGCAGAGAGACAGCAGCTCCCGAGTCTCATGAACCCTCAGCCCCGACTTCAAAGTACTGCTCCCTTCAGCTTATACCTCTCTCCCACCGAATGTAACATCAAATAGGATAGCCTGCCCCGCACCGAGTCATCCCCTTGACGAGAGGGATGCTCACAGCTTACCCACCCCGACCTGCCGCTTCCCATCCCCGTGTACCCACCTGCTTGTAGGCGTCCAGGAGGAAGCTGTTCCAGACGCAGCGCAGCCCCTCCGAGGTCAGCATCCTCCGCCACTCACCGCGCCCAGACTTAGACCGGCTCAGAAATAGCACCATGTGCTTCAGGAGGATCACAGAGTCATACAGCGCAAGGAAAAGGCAATTGGAGAAAAAGACCGGCAAGATCTGAAGCGTGATCAGCAAATCCACACTTAGCAGACCCATCTTCCCTGCTGCTTCTCTTCAGCCGGGTGCCTTCAGCTCCCTTTTTTGCCCTACACCCTCATTTGAAAAAGTAAAGTAAAAAGTATTTCAAAAGCCTCGTTACCCCGCTCTCAAGTCTCTCTCTTTAAAACGAGCAGAGATAGTTAAATATGAGCAGGCTGGTTAAAACCATAACTGCATGATATTCAACTCGGAGCTGCTGATTTTTCAGAAACTAAGATGTTAACAGAAATTCTTCCCTTAACCAGGAGACCTGATTTTGTTGAAGAGAGAGGCAGCTGTGCTTCCAGCTCCCTGCAGTTACAAAATTTAAGCTGAGACTGTTAATTGTTAACTTTCCTGCACTATCCCATTGTTCCTCAGCTATTTAAGCACTGAGCAGACCTCTCATTTCTGTGTCAGTAAAGCCAGCTACCAGGTGCAACAATACTTTTTTTTTTTAAAAAAGGTTTATGTACATAAACTTTCTGTTCCTTCCTCCCTCCCTCCCTCCCTCTCTTTCCAAAAATCCCTCTCCCCCTCTCTCCCCCGCCTCTCTCTGTTCCTGCCTTCCTCCTCTCGCCCTCTCCCTCGCTATCTGCCTATGGTGCAAAGTGCTTTCCCCTCTGGAGTCCTAGCTTGCTTCCCTGAAGCCTTTTATACATTCCCTAGCTAATTGCTGCAATAGAGAAATGAAACCCTAATCTTAGTAAAGATCTTGACGTCAATGTAAAAGAGGGCTTTACTTTGGCCAGGGCTGCAGTGAATAGAAAAATGAAATTCTCAAAACTTTTTTTCTTTTCTTTTTTTTTTTTTTCAGAGAGAGGAGAAAAAAAAAAAAGAGAGAGAGAGAGAGACAGACAGCAAGGGTGAAACTTTGCTTTGCTTTGAAAAGGAAAAAGAAAAAAAAAATAAACCCAATATGCTTCTGACTGCTCTGAAGAAATGCTCGCAGATTTTGGAAAAAGTCTTTTCATATGACATGGAAGGTGACACAGCAGCACAGGCTTCTGTTGTCAATGTTGTGGTTTTTTTCCTCATGGTTGATTTTTTTTTTCCCTTTGCCCTTTTGTCTTTTCCAGGAAGGTGTGTGAGCTGATGCATCCCAAGAAAGGGCACAGTTCTGTACATTTTCCTCCCACCTTCATTGAAGTACAACATGTATAGTGTTTAAATAGCTTTTGTTGTCTTCTTGGTATTTAAGGAAACTTAAGGTATTTAAGGGAACACCCAGCACTGACTTAATCTACTGATGTGTAAGAGAAGATGATAAGAAGGAGAGGGAAAAAAGTTTAAGGATTTGGGGTTTTTAGGCAAAAGCTGCCTGCTTAAAAATCATATGTTACAGCCTTAATGTTACTTACTCAACTGAGCTTCAAGGACTCTAATATTCCCCTATGATAACTATTCACATCTCTAGTCTAGTAAGGATAACTAACTTTTGGTTACAGCCTTATTAAAACAATCTCAGAAAGAAAGAAGTTTCCTCTGGCAGAGCCATGTGTGCTTTAACAACCACAAGCATCCCCTGTAGCCCCATGCTGAAGGTTTGCTTTGTTCATTTGCACTTCTCTTTGTTTTACCTTTTTAGTCCAATATTTGGTCTTCTTTCCACATGGTTGGGGTTTTTTGGTACAGTAGACACATTCTGTTGTTGGTTGTTTTTTGTTGGGGTTTCTTGGGTTCTTTTTAAGCATGTTTCTGACTTCCTTAGGTAAATATTTTATGTATTTCACATTGCAGACATCCATAATTTTGTTTTTGAGTGGATGTCTTCCCTATGTGCTTATGCAGGCTCTCCTCACCAGATACCTTTCATTTCCAGAGATGCCAGCATGATCTCTAACCTCTGTCAACTCACATCCTTCATGGGTAGGCACTGGCTTCCTTCATTAATATATCTTAGTCTCCATCAGTCATCACTAGCTGTTCACTGCTAGCCACTGCAGAAGGTAAACACCATCAATCTTCCCTACTCTGGGGTCTTTCATGTTCAGATATTGTAATTTCACTTGGGCTGTCGTTACCCTAGGATGCATACCTCTAGAAAGGCCACCCCATGTCTTGTCTTGGGCTCGCCAAAGAAAAGTTTGTTTAGGTAGCGTAATATCAGGCATTTGCAAAAGATATCACCCAGACAGGATATCTTCCAGCAAATGTTTACTCAAAGAAATAACTTTAAAAGGTTACACACATTAAACCAGTGACCTTCTGCGTTACTAGTATAAACAAAAAAAAGGAACCCAGTTTCTTTTTCAAACTGTAACAACTTTTTAGTCAAAATGTCAGTGATGACAGTGTTCTGTTGCCATAGAAAGGATTGCAACCTCGCAGATCTGGCTTTAGTATTAAAACTTGCAAAAACACGTTATGAGCAGGCTTTTATATATCCCCACATATGGGTGAGTCAGTGTGCTCCTGTCATGTGAGCGCAGCGCAGGAACAAGGGTCCCCAGAGCTGCTAAACTAGCTTATTGTCTGACCTCAGGCAAGCATAAGCAATCACTTGATTACGAGCCCTCTCAAGCCTAGATTACTCTTCTGAAGATTCACCACTAAAACACACAGGATCCCGCCTGGGATGGTCCCCGTTCTCTATTTTGGGAAGGTTTGTTGAAAGGCAGGCCTGGGGCTTGCTGATGACGATGCCGGATGAATCATCAGCCATTGTTTCTGAGAACAGTTTGCAAACAGCTCTGAGGACAGTCCAGCGCAGGCTCTTCCTGTTCCCCGGAGGTAAAGTCAGGCAAGAACCTACCCTGGGAACACGATGTATTCTGGGTTCCTGTGAAACAACTGCCCCTACCCACAGCGTGCTTCGTGGGTGAAGAGGTTGTTTGTGCGACAGCTGGAGCCCAGGCGGCTATGGAGCTTTGAAGTGCATCGGAAGCGGAGCAGGAAGCCCATGGAGCACTGGTGTGAGATGGTATTTCACATTTACTGCGTCACCTTCCTTGCCTATACAGACTGTACTGAGCTGAACAAAACTACCTCCCGTTGTGTGTTTGAGAGCTTCAGTGAGGAGATGCTGATAACTCCCTATTCCAACCAAAAAGATAAAAATCTTTTGACTAAATAAAAATACAGAAAGACAGTTTTTGCCATTGCTGTCTTCAGAAGCAATCTGGCCCTGCAGGGCACAAGCACTGCTCCTCAGATTAACAGAGGACAACAGCCCTCAACAAAGCATGCAAGCATAATTCCTGCTTCCTCTTGCTGATACTGCTTCTCTCCTTCTTGGCGCAAACACTTCATCCCTGTGTTTATTTTTCTTAGGGATCAAAAATACAATGGAAACCACTATTTGCATCTTTTGTGGGAGATGGGCATCTGCAGTGTATTCCCAGTGTTGAAGCTGACCATCTCCTGTTATTTCCCTGCAGACCTTTGTGAAGCAAGGAAGAAAGGCTACATCTTTCACACCTCGAGGCATTTAAGAGAGCCTTTACTCTCTTGAAGGAAAACTTGAGGAATTTGATACATGAAGAAGAATTAGGCAGGGTTGAAGATACGCATGAAAGAACCGAGATACGGTTCAGCTAAAGCTCATTTCAGTTACCTGCTCTGCCATACCTTCCTATATAATTTGGGCACAGCCCTACAATGTACCTCAGTTCTGCATCAGCAAAAGAAAATAAAGTCCTCCCGTAATCTAAGGAGCAGTCAGGTTCAGTAATGGGAAATTAAACATATCATCCATAATTTGTCAAGGTGGAATGAGCAAAGCCAACAACATTAAAGCTTTCACTGTTACTAGACCTTGTATGTGGCTAAAGTCAACAGTATCGGTATAGATGCTCATATTCTGTAATGTTTATAGAAATCAGTGCCACCAAAACCGTATCCATGCATAGCTTCATGTTTCTCCCCAGTTTCAACCACAGTAGCATGAAGATTAGGACACGGGCAGCTAGTAAGTTTGTTTACTGCAACTCTTTTGATAACTGTGCCTAGACACGGGACATTTGAGGTGGAGTTACTGCTGCTCAGGACACTTTCTCTGATCTCATTTTAGGCTGGATCCGGATATACTAGCTTTCTGCACATCAGTGTATTTCACAGCCTTCACTTAGTTGTGGAGGTCTTTACTTGTTTGTGTCTGAACTATGTGTGTAAACTGCCAGGGCACTCAATCCCACTGCGTCTAGGTACCTAAATGCAAGACCCTAGAGCCCAAAGCAAGCAGATTGATTGATATTTTGGTTACTCAGCCTTACTTTTTCAGACTAAGCAAGACCCTTTTGAATGCGGTTACTCTTTGCAACACAGCTGGGCAAGGGTACCTCGCAGTGACAGGCAAGCAAGGCTGCTGCTCCTGTCCTACCCCCAGGAGGTCCATGGGAGAGATCATCCCAAAGGATTCAGCACAACCTGTGTGCCTGCCTTGCTGCTTCTCACTGCTTCCACTGCCAAAAACAAAGAATGAAGCTTTTTGTTTGGGAGCTAGTTAGTGTGTCCATGAGCTTATCCCCGGAGAATTGCGCAGCTGCAGAGTGATATGGCTAGAGATGGGGAGGAGAAAGTTTAGCTTTAGCTTTGCCTCCCTGGCCCTGGGCAAAATTTGTTTATTACAGCCAAACAAGAATTTGTACCTCTCATAAAACTGCATTTTTTTTTCTCTTTGCCAAAAGAGAAAAATCTCCCCCTTCTCTCAGCAACAATCGCCTCCCTTAAAATGCCACGGAGCGCTGACAGAATGCCTATTTCCCCTTTCCAGTTAGGATCGGCGGCGTATTTTCTTGAAGAAATAATATCTTAAATTGAAAATTATTTCTTTCAGGCAAGTTTTAGTGATACCTGGATGGAATACCCACGACGTGGATGCACCAGGCCCTGCCTTCTTCCGTCACTCCTGGCCGCAGCACCACGTCTGAATGGAGCAACGTTCATCCCGCTGGCACCCAGCCCCATTCTGCCTGCTTAAAGCGGCCTCTGTTCTCTACAGGAATCCGCTTACCAGCCTTTCAAAGGTGAGCACACTAAATATATCCTTGCTGCCTAATTTATTTACTTTTTGTATC